AAAATATTTATTGCTGGGCGCCGTGATATCACTTTGGGAGGCTGAGGCGGGAGGGCTCTTTGAGGCCAAGAGTTGAGACCAGCCTGGGCCACACGGTGAGATCCTGTCTCTAAAAAATAAAATAATATTTGTTGCATTTCCTGTCTTCCTAACCCATCTAGCATGTTGGAGAGGTGATAAAATATAGTAATTTTGAGGGTGCACTTTGGACTCAGATCTAACCAAATATTCTGTTTGCCACTTATGAATTCTATGACCTTGGATCTCTCTGTGCCACAATTCCCTCATTTGCAAAATGGGAATATTAACATTTTAGCTCATGGGATTCTTTTAAGGGTGAAGTGAGATGTCATATCTAAAACAATTATGTAGTGTCTAGCATACAACTTAATAGTTTGATAAGTGCACCTAGCATGGGATTATATTAAATCATGGACTGAAATGATCTTTAGGAATTAGTCCATTACTTTCATGCCATTTACCAATGAAGTTAAGTGGAATTAAGTGAGAAGTTTACTTTGCCAAGTAGGTTTGTGTACTAGGTTGAAGGGTGTCGCCACCAAAATTCATCCCCCCAGAAACTCAGAATGTGAACTTATTTGGAAATAGGGTCTTTGCAGATGTAGTGAGTTAAGAGGGGAACGGAGTAGATTAGGGTGGGCTTGAAATCCAAAATGACTGAGCTCATTATAAGAAGAGGACATATGGAAACGCTGACGCGAGGTACAGTAGCTCACGCTTCTAATCTCAGTACTTCAGGAGGCAGAGGTGAGAGGACTGCCTGAGGACAGGGGTTTGAGACCAGCCTGGGCAACTTGGCGAGACCTCGTCTCCACAATAAATCAAAAAATCTGCCAAGCATAGTGGCGCATGCCTGTATTCCCAGCTACTTGGGAGACTGAGGTGGAAGGGTCATCTGAGCCCAGGAGGTCCAGGCTGTGATGTGTGCCGCTGGAGACTCCAACTCAAGACCAAAAGAGAGAGACAGAGAAGCACTGAGACACAGGGGGAAGAAAGTGATGCGAAAATGGAGGCTGTTTGGGACGATACATTACCAGCCAAAGATTGTTTGGACACCCAGAAGCTAGGAGAAAGGCATGGAATGGAACATCTCTCAGAGGCCCCAGAAGGAACCAGTCTTGTCAATACTCTGATTTTACACTTCTACCCTCAAGACTGAGAGTATACGCTTCTGTTGCTTTAAGCCACTCAGTTTGTGATAATTTGTTACAGCAGTCCTAGTTTGAACCAGACTCCAGATTTTTTTTTTTTTTTTAAGTTGGAGTCTCACTCTGTCGCCCAGACTGGAGTGCAGTGGCCGCTCCCGGCCACTGAAGCCTCGACCTGCTGGGCTCCGGCGATCCTTCCGCCTCAACCTTCCGAGTAGCCGGAATTACAGGCGCGCACTACCACGTCTGGCTAATTTTTTTATTTTATTGTAGAGATGAGGTCTCGCCTGCCCAGGCGGGGGATTACAGGCTGAGCCACTGAGACCGGCGACTCCAGATTTTTAAGCTTCCAATCTCTCCCTCTTTTACACCATCACTGCCTCCCCAAACCAACCAAAAAGATGTGTGAGATACCTACTTAGAAAGTTTACCTATTTGGAGAAAAATCAACACAATCTATAATTTTTTTTAGCACTTCTTCAAGTTGTGACCCGATTCACAGTAAAAGCATTTAATAAATATTTTACTGGCATGTTGATAAAATAATAGATGTTAAAATGTTATGTTGGGTAATACAAATTTAAGATATTGTTATACATATTCTACCTCTGTGTACACGTGTGCACCAGACTCTAAATTTATTTACAAGTTTTATATGTTGAAGAATCACAGAACTTTAGCACTCTCTCTTACTGCTTGCAGCCTGTAGGACACATGAGTTTCACAAGTCCCGCCTGTTCACTTCCTCCAGGTAGTAACAAATTGTCTGGGCACCCTCAGGACTCTGAATCTTAAAAAGCAGGGATGACCTCATTCTCCTTGAGTCCTTCCAACCTGACTCAGGAATGGGCAGAAAGGAAGCCAGTGAGTCCGGAAGCTGCCCATTGCTTTAAAAAAAGGAGGTCACAGGGCACAGCTCCCACCCAGTCAGCCGGTGGTGGAGTTAACAAAGGGAGGGAGGGGAAAAGGGAGAAGCTGATTCACTAGGACAACTCTTAGAGTGACTCAGAAGCCCGTTCTCCCACATCAGCCTCTTTGTCAAGCGATGAGGCACTTCCTCATTGCAAACCCATAGGCAGAGCAAAGGGGAGGAGAAGGAAATGGGATCTCCAAGTTCCTTTGCTTATCCCAACAGCCAACACTCTGTTTTCAGCCATTTCAGACGTTTGCATCAAGTCAAGTCAGTATTTATTGAGCACCTACTATGTGTCTAACCCTTCATTTTTTTCTTTCAAATGGTCGGACTTCTGAACACAGGGTATGGTGTCTTTCTGAAGTTTGGTATTCCTAGTCATTACTCCAAAAACACTTGGGCTGTTGTTGAGTACAGTAAGACTGTCCTTCACACATAGAGATGACCCTCCCAAGCCTACAGTCAACCAGGGGAATATGGAGCTGTTTTTCTGGTTCTAATGCTGGCTTCACAGGTAAAAGGACATAACATTAGTCAATATACTCAGTGAGTAGCCATTTTAACGTGCATAGCTCTGTTATGTTTTTCTAACTATTCATTTTAACTTACCTTCTAATCACTAGCCAAGGACAGAACCAGTTTCTCAGAGGCAGCTATCGATAATTGCTTTACAACCCCCTCCCCAACTTGTTTTGTCAACAAGTTCACCTAATCAGCCCGTCATGACCTTCATGGCAGTCCATCAGCATAGCAACAGTCATGTGACTAACCCACCCATCTGCCTGCAGTCCATCACCTGATGTCAGTACCTGTACTTACCTGCCTTCCCTGATGACATAAGCAGACCACCAACCAATCACCTTAGCAACCTGTTCCCATCAAAGGGAAAGGTTAAAAGGCATTCAACTTCAAACAGCAGTAGCCACTGCTTTGTTAAACTCTGGTTTGTCCACGTGGCTCTTTGAGCTATGGCCACCATGTTTCCAAGCTTTGGCCCCCTTCCCTACCTTGGGGAGGTGAATCTCCTCTCTCTTCTCTAATTTACTTTCTAAATAAACTATAGTTTTTCATCTAACTTCTGTGCAATACTTTGCATATTTTGTGCGGTCGTGGATTGCAGACCAGACACCCCCCCACCCCCAATCATGCCTGACCTAACATTCAGAGGCTCCGCTAGTATTTTAACCTAACAACAGGAAAATGCACCCATTCTCTGGGCCAGTCCTCTCCTTGTGAGAGCCAGGATGCAGTAAGCAGAATAATATGCACAATTTGGAGTTGTACATCTTAGGTGAAGTTTCTCTCCCTCCTTTTTCTTCCTTGATTCCTTCCTCCCTTCTTCCTCCCCCCTCCCACCTTTCTTTCTTTCTTTCATCAAGAGTCTTGCTCTGTTGCCCTGGCTGCAGTGCAGTGGAATGTTCCTGGCTACCACAGCCTCAACCTGCTGGACTCAGGAGATCCTTCTGCCTCAGCCTTCAAGTAGCTGGAATTACAGGTGCATGTCACAACTTACCAGCTATTTTTTTTTAATTTGTTGTAGAGATCCCGCCAAGTTGCCCAAGATGATCTCGAACCCCTGGTTTCAGGCAATCCTCTCGCCTTGATCTCCCAAAGTGTTGGGATTACAGGCATAGGCCACTGCACTCTTCCTGGAAGTTCATTCTTTACCATTGACTAGCTCTATGACTGTAATTGTTGTCTCTTGGATCTCTATCTTATCATCTGTAAATTGGACACAATGATGTCTATCTTACAGAGTAGATTTCTCATACAATACTGAAGATTAAATAAAATATGAAAGTACATGGCACAGTGATAACATGATAAATACTGGTTTACTTCCTCCAAAATATGACATACAGATTGATCACCTCCCTCTGCATGGGGCCGGCTGCATCTGCCTTGAGGATTGTGTCTGCCTAGGGAGTACTAGGTCCCTAATACTGTCTTGCTAACTGTAATTGCTAAGATTAGGAATAATGTATTAAAGTAATACATTCCTTATGCATTCAAATACTGTCTTATAAATATTTATATATTGTGTTTCAAATGATGTGGTTATTATTAATGTCACCAGCTGATTCAGTCTGTGAGCTGACAGGCAATCTATGGAAAAGGAATTCAGAAACTTTGACCTCAGGTAGGGATGAAACTAGGAATGCATCTCTGAGCTATTTGGTCCTGCCTAGGACTTGCCGCCACCAGCAAGATCTGCATTCCTGTGTTGACAAGGACAGACATTCCTTGCATCCTCTAGCCTGCCCTTTGTTTCCATTTCACTGCAAACGTCATTGCCCCACAATATAATGAGGCCAAGGACACAAAAAAGTCACCTCATCTGGCAAGCACAGTATGGAAAAACTTGACACACAAATTTGCAATTGCCCGGCTTCTGCCTGAAAGGCAGTTTGGCTGGATTTATGCCCTCCAGGGTGCTATCCGCTGTCTCTGCCCCCCACCCCCCGGGGGGGGGGCTCGAATGCCCCAGGGGCTCCGGAGCCAGTGTCCTTTTCTGCACTTAATACGGACCAAGAAGGGTGGTCTCCAGGTGTTTCATCCTCGCGCCCTTGCCCCCAGCATCGCATCTTCAGGCGCGTCCAGGAAAAAGGGAGCAAGGAAGCCACGTTACCAGGTTTTCAACAACTCATTCGAAAGCGTTCTCATTTAGAAAGAGGAGACACCAAAGCGCACTTCATTTATGAACATTCTGGACCAAATCCCAATCAATCAGGCCACCAGAGCCCGCCATTCCTAAGCTCCCCGTACACAGTCAGGGCGAGGCACCAAGCATCCTCCGCAGCCCTGGCCGGAAACCACACGGAACGTGGAAAGTCGCAGAGCCCGGTCCGGGAGGGGCGCGAGCCCACCCTCCAGCCCGGGACAGAGGAGGGCGCTTCCGCCCGGAAGTGACGCGCGCGCAATCCCAACCTGGCGCTCCCCAAACAAAAGGGATCTTGGGGCCCCGGGAGGAGCCTGAATGACACTGGAGAAGCCCCTCCTTCCGCCCGCGCCGATTGGAGCCGGGGCTGGAGGCGCGAGGCGGCGATTGGCCCTGGAGAATGCCAATACCCGCGCCGGGCGGCCTAGAGGGCGGGGCCTCGGGGCAGTGGATGGGGAGCGGGCGGCGGAGGCGGCGGAGGCGGCGGGGAACCGAGCCCGGAGCGCCGCGGAAAGGTAGGGGCCGCCCGCGCCCGGGCTTGGCGATGGCTGGGAGGCCGGGTCGTCGGGCGCAGGGCGAGGGTCGGGGCGCCGGTCGCCCCCCGCCGCCCTCCCGCCTGCCGCCGGACCCGTCCCTTGAGGGGGCGGGGCCGTCCCCTTTTCCTCCCGGTGTTCCCTGAGGAGGCGGCTCCCCATCCTTCGAGGGTCCTCGGAGCTACTTTTTGTCCCTCGCCCATTCCCGGCTCCGAGGTGGGGGCTTCCCTCCGGCCACCTCGTTGAAAGGAGCCTCCCGCCAGCGTCTCAGCCTTGGCCGAGGGCTCCCAGTCCCGGCTCTCTCGGCTGCCGCCCCCACCCCCGTTTTGTACCCACCGCCACCCCACCCCCGGAAGGCCGGACATCCCTCCCGACACCTGTCCCTGCTCGCTGGCGTGGGGCCGGAGCTGGTGTCCTCCGTAAGATAGAAATCGGCGTTTTCCGAGAGAAAGGGATGCGGCGAAGCAAAAACCAAAGACCCGAGGTAGACAGCCAGCTCCAGCGACGGGCGGCCCTCCCCCGCGCCAGCTGTTCCCATCCCCCATTCTCCTGATGCGGGGTCTTCCTCCCGCAGCCCCTCCGATCCCCTGTCCCCCTGTGGGGCGCCAAGAGCTCCCCTGCTTCGGGACTTTTTTGGACTCTGGAACAAGGAGAAATAGCCGCCACCCCCCACGCTTTGTACCTTCTTCCCTCCACTCTCATTTCTGGTGGGAGAACCCAGCTTCCAAGGGACTTTTAGGTTTGGGTCGGTTTCATTTTTCCTCTCCAGCCTATTTCTTCCCCGGGAACTTGGTGAAAAAACCATCCTCTTTGATTACCCAGTGAGGTGGGTGTGTTAGGTATGTACAGAGTTGGCCTCGTGTGGGCAGGAATGCAGTGTATATTGTTTGACAGTCAGTGAATACCAGCGGGTTTCCAGAAGCAACAGTATAGACTGAGTAAATACACAGCTTCGGATTGGGAAAGAGTGGATCCCAGTCTAGGGTGGGCTGGTCTGTTGCTCGGGGAGCCTGCGGTAGACCTTCAAGGTTAACTGCAGTCTTGAAGGTTGGAACAAAAGGCAGGAAGTGTTGGGAGAACTTCAGGTTCAGTCTTCGAGGTTTATGATTAATCCGGTCCTGTGTCCTTTGACTCCTCAGCCCCTCTTTTTATGAGGGGATTGTACCCCCCAGGGGAACCATACACACACTGTACAGGTGATTCGTTTTAGGATGCCAGTACCATCTACCAAAATTTAGAGGATGAAAAGTAAGAGCAAGTTTCTTTTTCTTAATTTTTTTTTATTTTAAAGATGTGGGGTACGATTCAGGGTTAGGTATACAAATGACCATTGCACAGGTGAAGTTTGGGCCTCACTTTGTTCCCCACGTCACCCGGTTTGAGATCAGGTACCCTTATTGATGAAATGTGTACCCGCCCCCCCCGCGGTTTCCCACTACTGCCAATTCCTTTCTTATGGTATTATGATAATTGTTCAGGGTCCGCTATGAGTGGGAACATGTGGTACTCAGTAGGAGCAAGTTTCAAATCTCAGAAATAAGAGTAAACAAAGGCAAGGTGAACTCTAGCTGTTCACACGTGTAACCACCAAGTGGTGTCTCCGTAGTGTGCTTGTGAAGGTTTTATCATGTTAGCCTTCATGTCGGCAGGTGCAAAGTCTTGATGATTTTGGCCAAATGTTAATGTCGTTGAATCCTCAGTAGTCATTTGTGGCTTGCACTCCTGCATATTAAAAATTGCCATATTTTTAGCATTGTTTCTTTTGCTTTCAAGCCCAAGTCCATCTCACAGCTATTATCTAGAGCCAAAGCTGATAGCAGTAAGATGCAAGGAGTTGGAGTCACAGAGGGTGATTCTAATGGCTGTTGTCTTTTACCTTCCTGATTAGACTTCAATTATTTTTGAAGAGTTAGGTTTGAGGGTTTCGGAGCCACTCAGAGCTCACAGGTCTGCTCAGTGATTGTTTCCAGATCTCCAGTAAGAAAGTACAAAGAAGAAACTGTGGAGGGTCTCCAGCAAACACAAAGTATGCTCTATAGGGAGGTAAGACATGGGCCCCCAGCTATAGCAGCAGAAAACACTAAGAGTAGAACAGGAAATCCCAAAAAGGTGTATCTTATTACATGACCAGGGAACAGAAAATAAACTAAGGAAACCAAAGTAGGGGTGATTTCCAGGGCCTTAACAGAAAGAAACAAATAATGTTTTATTAGTCAGCACAGTAATCAAGACCTAATTGTTACACTTTTGGGTCTTCAAAACCTTTCCTTTAACTTTTTTGGTCATGTTAGATGAAGAAAAGCATATTATGCAGAAGATTTATTTTTGTACATCTAATCTATCTCATTGAATTGTGGATTCTTTGAGGATATAGTCCTAGAGTATATTTTTTTCATCTTTGTATCTTTCACAGTGCCTAGTCTATAGAATGACTAATGAGTGTTTGTTGAGCTAAATTGGAAGCTGTCACCTTAGGGTAGACTACAAAGGTAATGCACTGACAAGATATGGCACAACTTGTTGGTATACACAATCTACTATTTTTTTTTTTGAGTTGGAGTCTCACTCTGTCGCCCAGACTGGAGTGCAGTGGCCACTCCTGGCCTCTGCAGCCTCGACCTGCTGGGCTCTGGCCATTCTTCCGCCTCAGCCTTCCAAGCAGCTGGAACTACAGGCGTGCGCTACCATGCCCAGCTAATTTTTGATTTATTTTAGAGATGAGGTCTCGCCAAGTTGCCCAGGCGGGTCTCAAACCTGCGGGCTCAGACAGTCCACTCACCTCAGCCTCCCAAGGCACGCGATTACAGGCTGAGCCACTGAGCCCGGCTCACAATCTACTTCTTTTTGTCCTTATTTAACTTGATTTTTCCCTATTTGGTGTCTTATGAAACTCCCGTATCTTAAGTGACTAAAATATTGAATTTGCTATAAAGAAATTATCTGCTGTTTAGAGAATACAATTTTACTGTCATGAAATTTGAACCAGACTAGTTAATGTAATCAGTGCATGTCATTTTAAGATTTTATTTTTCTAAGAATCTGACCTGGCAGTAATGAAGTGAATTTAGGAGAACACACTAGGAACCAGTCGTTGCTGATTTTCATTGAAGAATAGTTTCTGAGTGATTTTGACAAGTCACTCTTCTTTCGGCTTTTTAAAAAGGAATTTTCATTAATCTTATGCTTTTAAACTAGCACTAAGTATATGAACAGGAACATAGAGCAGTCTAGGGTTCTTAAATATAATAATGCATACTAATGATGGTGTGCATAATACACTCAACCGACTATGGATTTGTGTCTTGGCGGAATCACATTTGCAGTGCTACCAGGCAATTTGCAGAACTGGATTTCTTAGCTTGTCTTAGTGGAGCAGAATGGTGTTTCTTGGGGTTGCCATAGAACTGGTATTTGGTGACAAGAGATGAGAAGCAGGGGTTTATGTCTAGAGATAATTTGTTCAGTCTATGGTGGTTGACCGTAGAAGTGACTTGTCAGCTTGTTTCTAACGCTACTGATAAATCATTTAACTCACATACCGAGTGCTAATAGTCATGGTGATAATAATGCCTATCAATTACTGAGTACTTCTTATGTGCGGGGCACCTCACTTTGTGATGTGATGTGGGGTGTGTATGTGTGTATTCATGTTTTTCATTTCCTGAATGTTTGCTGCTCAGAGCTAAAAATCAAGTCTTCCAAATTTCAACCCAAAGCAGTTCAGTGAGGGAAAAAATGGCGTATTTATCGTGAAGCTTTAGTGTGTGGTTACTTTCAGCACAGACTTTAAAGTTAGACCTGGGTTCAAGCACCAACTCTGCTACTGTTCACTGTATATAACTCAGGGCAAGAGCAGAGTTTTCTATCCTCACCATTCCTCAGTGTCAGCTTCCTCCGCTGTGAGATAGAAATGGCTTCAAGGTTTTTTTAAGGATTATGTGAATACACACACACACACACACACACACACACACACACACACCTCACATCACATCACAAACCGAGGTGCCCAGCACATAAGAAGCACTCAGTAATTGATAGGTATTGTTATTACGCATGATTATTTGCACTCGCTATGTGAGTTAAATGATTTATTAATAGCATTAAATCTTCTTTTTCTCCTCTAGCATTTTGGCTAAGGTGAAGACTCAGTGTCTGATTTTAGTTATCTCTTGACTTTGTTTTAAATTCTTCAATATGGGCTAAGCCCTAAGTGGAGGGGAAACAAAGTTTGTCATAATCTCAGACATCTGAACCAAGGGTTTTTAGGTGAGAGTGAGTGTCTCAGAGTGTGTGCATTTAATTATTTGGTCATGCAAAGTGTCTTTCTTAAGTTTTTTTGGCCTGAGGAAAAAGAAAGGCAAGGGACTCAGCCAGCTGTTGTCTTCTTTCTGACCTGTCACTTGCTCCACTCCCTTAAGAAGCGCCATCCTGAATGCCAGATACATGGTTTCGTAAACACTGTGATTACTCTGCAGGGTTGTGCCTCCTGGGAGACTCAAGGGATTTTTTAAACGGTAATTTTTACTAAAAGTGATTTTTGCCTTACTTACAAAGCCGATCTACCTCCCCTGCTGTCCCAAAAGTAAGGAACAATTATAGGAGCAACCAAAACTGGGGTGAGAAGAAAACATGGATGGGGGGTCAAGAGTGGAGGTAGGGGAAGGTGAGGGCTAGAGTGTGTGAATGAAAGGAAACAGGGGGAAAGTAGGCCTGGAAGCAAAGAATGAAGTCCACTGTCAGGTGGTTCCTCCCTGCCTGTTATTCTAAACGCTACCTCTAAATGTGTCCTTTACTGTTGAAATGAATCCTCTCTGGCTTCTGGAGCCACAAATATAATTCTCAGTTGTTCCTAGCATGATACAAGCTAGAAAGGGAAATAGGGTGGGGATGATGCGGTTCACAGACCAAAAGAACTCCTGACCCTGAGCCTTGGGGGTGTCTGCATGGCTCCCTTTACAGAACTGCTGGGAAAGGCTGGG